TAGTGTGGGGATGTGTACCGTGAGGTAGATATTGAGGGCCAGTACCTGATGTATAGTGTGGGGATGTGTACCGTGAGGTAGATATTGAGGGCCAGTACCTGATGTATAGTGTGGGGATGTGTACCGTGAGGTAGATATTGAGGGCCAGTACCTGATGTAGTGTGGGGATGTGTACCGTGAGGTAGATATTGATGGCCAGTACCTGATGTAATGTGATAATGTGTACCGTGAGGTAGATATTGAGGGCCCTCCCTACATAGATGTGGTATGGGATCTGTTCCAAGTGATGTGGAATTTGGATAATGCAGAGCAATGAGTAAACAACAGGAGACTCCATCACTATCTGGGTTACTGTCATTGTTCAATAACTGATTTATCACAAGGATGTTATCAGCAGTAATACTGTCACCTACCGGGGCTCTATTTAGATATTTGTTATCTAATCTGTCCAGAGTTATCAGTATATTGTTCATGTCCTGTTTTCAGTTTCAGATGATAAGTTTTACATTTAAAAAATTGAATTGTGTAGTGGAAATGTTTTAGATGGTAATCAGTTGTGTCAAAAAGACGTGACTGTAACAGGGCTTACACCAGTCAGTGCCTGTTTAGATAGCCAACCTGCTGTGGCCCTGATGATGGTTTGTAGAGCTTCACCTTGGAGAGAGAGTTGTGATTCGGCTATCATATATCTGATTGGGATAGCTGTCCAGGGGTTTCAATTACTTATATCTGAGATACCTACCTAAATGACTTGGAAAGATTACCCGCAATTTTGTTTCGACTGGAATTATTAAATATTTTGGCTACACGTGAGAAAAATGTCCAAAGATTTGAAGCGGCTATCTCAGCATTGGAAGGAATGTGTCCCTACGGAATACACTGTCACTCCGGTCGTGGAGATCCTAGGACCCAGAGGTAGGTTAAACAATTTTGTTACTATACATTTGAAACTATAGAGAATCCATAATTGAATAGAATTTTGTCATTATATGAATATTAGTAAAATGTATGAGGGTAAGGGAAATCCACGAGTCAGGAGCTCAGCATATCCACGATACCTACATAATGATATTTTACTTTTTTTTCCCACCTCTGACCTGGAAATTTGATAAAGCAACACTAACATTAATAATGCAAGTGCAACAGAAAATATGCGAAAATGTTGTAGTTAACATACACAGAAACTAAGGCCATATTTGGAAAGAGCAGAAAAAGTTACGACAACCAATAGGTATTTATAGAAATATGCAAAACCTTCAAGGCAAGTTATGCAATATTTTCATAAGTTGGTGTCAGTTGACAACAGCAAGATTGCCGTTTTCGGTAAAATGATGTTTGACAGGCTCATACTTGCCAACTTTTTGAAATTTCCATGGGGGAGATTCTGCTTGCCAAAAAATAAAAACCTATTAAAATATGTGTATATGCACACTGGGGGAAAATAACACTTTAAAATGACATCTTGGTTGAGTTGTCCTTTAATTATATAAGATTAAATCAACAGATCTTCGAATATAGGAATAATTAAGCAAATTCACTTGTTAATAATGTCCAATTTTAGGGTAAAATATTGGGAGTCTCCTTCCAAAATAGGGAGAGTTGGTAAGTATGCAGGCTATTGATTTTGACTTCATTATACAATTATGGACTTAAGGTCTTTTCATGATTTACGAGCCTGGTCTGAGCAGTTCACTCATTGAGGCAAAAGACCGAAGTGAATATGGTCAAGTCAACAAGTATTTTTATTGTATATAATTTCATATTTAACCCACTTATCCATGTCATGTTTGAATCAATTTAAATCAAATGATGTCACAGTCCATGATAATCTGTAACGCCTGTTTCTATTTTTGTGTCGCCTGCGAAAAGCTGGTGACACATAGGTATTGCGGCGGCCTCTGAACAGAGGTTTTCGTGCGATAACTTGAGTTTCCCTGCGCCGATCAAACTCAAACTTCATGCAGTGCTTCATTACCAAAAGTGCTTGCTTGGGATTGCTTTTCAGGTCCAAAGGTCAAATGTCAAGGTCACTGTTACTATAAATAGAAAATCTGTTTTCGTGCGATAACTTGAGTTTCCTTGGGCGGATCAAACTCAAAATTCATGCAGTGCTTCCTTACCAAAAGTGCTTGCTTTGGATTGCTTTTCAGGTCCGAAGGTCAAATGTCAAGGTCACTGTTACTATAAATAGAAAATCTGTTTTCGTGCGATAACTTGAGTTTCCTTGGCCCGATCAAACTCAAACTTCATGCAGTGCTTCCTTACTAAAAGTGCTTACTTGGGATTGCTTTTCAGGTCCAAAGGTCAAAGGTCAAGGTCACTGTTACTATAAATAGAAACTTCACTAAAACTGTATACTTGATGGCTTCGATCTACCACTTGACCCACCGTGTATACCTCTGAAATGCCGTCTTACTCCAAATGTTTTAGACAACACTAGCTGTTTAACATCTTAATCCACAAGTTTATTCATTTATTTATGGGAAACCATCCGACAAATCATACAAATTAAACTTGGAATTGAGACAATGAGTATCCATAGCAAGTTCCTTAAAACTCAGAGTATTCTTCCCAGGATAACAGATTATATAACAAAATGATGCCATCCAAAAACATAATCTATGATTATTGCTTACTTTAACATTATTTCTTGAAATGAAAAGTGTATCTGTTTCTTCGTAATCTCCCAGCTTCCTGCGCAGGCGACACATCCACTTCCGTGGAATTCTTGTTGATATTGAGTCTGTACAAAGACTAACAGACTCCTGATGTCTCCCTTCGAAACAGAGTGGAGACTTTACGTCAGGCACATTCTAATTTTAGAATGAGGTCAGCAACAGATTATATAGACCTGGAAATACCCTGCGTTATATTTAGTAACAATCTGTAGATTCGTAACTGATTTAAAGGTTTGTCAGATGATGTTGATCCTCCAATCAGAGTTGTAAATTAGTAACAGGTGTGTAATAAAACGTAATGTCGTCATCTGATTTGTGATGTCATAATACATGAAGTGAAGGTTACTGAGTGCAACCATGAAGAATACATGTATCCCACATAAGTGTTCTTAACTCATCCACCTCTGAAATTTAATAATGAACTATTCCAACCTTTGAATAAGAAGAGTTCAAATGTGTCTTCAGGGGTAAATGAGTTAATGGGAAAACTACATAAACTCTGGTAATACTATAGATCAGTATTTTATAATGATCTCTGTATCTCTGAAGTCAGTGTTAAAATCACAGAGCAGCATCTGGAAATTGCAGTTTAATCTTAAATTAACTCAAAATATTGTTGAAACTATTTTAAACATATCTACATGCATGTCCGAAGGTTATACACCATATAAAACTATTGACTTGAAGAAATATACAGGAGGTTATTCTCTGGGCATTTATTAATGAGAAAACTTTCTCTGTTAAAATCATTCTACATTTTCATGACAACTTCAATTTCCACTACAATTTTTATCAAAGTTTTAGGTTTGATTTGTTCACTAGGAATTGCCTTTCTGCATTGAGTTTCCTATGTACAATTTTTTTGGTACGTAATTACAGAAAGGCGGTAGAAAATCGATGACAGAGACTTAACTTTGTGTGCAATCTCCAGTTGACAATCAATATAATTACAACGGCTTGTAGGGCATTCTACTTACCAAATCACACTTTTTCTAGAAATAAATTGAAAATGTCATCTTAGATCAGATGAATTTGCCTTGAGGGTGTGTAAAAATGAGCTGACAGCCTTCCCATCTGTTGTGTGTGAGACTTGGTTGTAGGGGTTATTCGAGTTGTCCCTTCACAGTGGCAAAATCTGTAATATGTTTTCCAATCTAAAATAAGATATAATCCTAAAGAATCCTAGTTTAAAAAATTAATGTGTATAAAAATCTTGTTTGTACCATGCAGTCTATGTTTTGTTGACTACTGTCTGTTAAAATCCCTTGTCAATGGAGAAATAGTTCTATAAATGATAATAATGTCATAAAAATGTGCTATGTTTGTTTTTCCTTGTTATTGCATCTTTTCCCTATTTTTCTTGTTGCCACACATTTTCCCCAAATTCCATATGGGTTCCAAAGCTGGAAAAAAAAACCCAGCTCTGACCTGAATAGTTTAAATATTGTTGGGTGTTTTTTTACACAGACATGAACCAAAATTTGATTCAAATATCTCCTAAAGATATATTTGTTGCTCCTGCTTTTGCTGAAAAGGGAATGACGTTGTTTTCAGTTCTTCTGTCCATGCATGCATGCATTTATCATACATTGCTTTCCGAATAAAGACTTTCAGTGAAATATTGTATGGGTTTACTTAATGGCCGTGCTCACGCATGGTTTGAAGTTGAACAGAATCCATGACCTGGTTATTGGATCTCAAATGTGATTGATTGTCATTTTCTGGAAAAAAACATGTCCTTTTTCAAGGACCTGCAGTTATCACCAAATTTGGTACATGGTTGTACACCGAATGTCAATGTTCAGTGAAAATTTGAGTTAAATGATACCAATAAGTTCAACATAACTATTACTTTTGTCACTACAATGTACCATGATTGTTTTTTTTTTTTTATCGAAAGAAATGTTGCCTGTCATTTATTTTACAAAATTGTAGTTGTTTGAAATTTGAATGTTTGAAAATAGAAATGAAAAAAAGAAAACAAGAAAAACTGCAGAGGTCAAACTCCCGACCTTTACACTTGACCAAGCCTACACTTGACCTGTGTTGTCATCCAGGACTTATACAAGCAAGCCCATATATAAATACTTGCCAACTTTTTGAAATTTCCATGGGGGAGATTGCACGTTCTCAGAATTAAAAACATAAATAAAATGAGTGTATGTACACCAAAGAGAAAAGTAGCTCTCTTTCAGATGAATTCATCAGACCTTTGAAAATAGGAATAGTTTAGCAAAATCACTGGTTGAAAATGCTCATTTTAGGACCCAAAATCGGCAGTCTCCCTTCTAAATAGAGAGAGTTGTCAAGTTGTCAACTGATTGGCAGGAAAGCATATGAAGAATGTCAGGGAAAGTTATTCAAAGCCAGAAAAACGCCTTTATGTTGCTTCATCTTCTCTATATAATGGAGAATACTCCAAGTCATGTTTTATTTCAAATATCATACCTTCTTCACTGGTTTGTGTCCATCACATAGAATAGACCTTTAGGTGGGCCCAATTACTTGTCGTAAATACGGAAATACACATTGTAGAATTTAGGACATTTTCCTACCTTTTCCCTGGTTAACTAGAGTTTGTCCCCCTTGAAACAAATATTTTGCTGGATTTATCATCATTTAATTTGCCCTATACACAAATTTTATGCTGATGGTCTGTTTAGATATAAATCAATTTTCACACCTAAAATTTTAGCTTTTACTACAGAGAGGCTTTCTATTTTGATTGTTTGTCAATCTCTTTCTCCTAGATGAGATTGAGAAATAACATTACAAATTTGAGAGTGGTTAAACTCTGGTATAAGTATATAAAAGTTCAAACCTGTTCCCGTGGGTCCCTGTGAATAAGACACAGATAACTTTTTACTGCTAATTAATATGTTTTTGATGCTGTAAAAGTAGGTTCATTAAACCTGCTGGACCGTGTGTTTACTCCTCCCAGAGAACCAGACACACTACACAGGGGAGCAGCATAACAAGTACCAGACACTCCTAGAATCAAAGGATGGACATTATACTGTATAGTTAACTCCTAGATATAGTCTCCAAGGTTTTGTCAAATTACTGCTGTCTGGGTAATTAGCTACTTGTGTAATCGCTTGTTGATCGTAGTAATATCAATGTATCAGATCACTTTAGCATCTCATTGGCATGAAAATTACCTTATAGAGTTTAAGTTCGAGTTGTCATAATTACCTTATAGAGTTTAAGTTCGAGTTGTCATAATTACCTTATAGA